TCGACCTTGTGAACTTCTCTAACCTTTCAAAAAATCCTAACTTTACCTACGTGTAAGGGTTACTGTTACTTGTTATGAATACCCTTGAAGATTAACTCTTAAGCACTCTTAATGACTTATTAAACGTTTTAAAGGCTACAGGGCGAGCTGTAGAAGAAAGACAATTGAAGACTCATTATGGATCTCACACATTCCCAAAGATCTAAAGATTTAATGGTTTTTAAAGATCTTTACAAACCCTTAAGAACTAATAAAGATTTTTAACAGTTTTAAAAGATTCAATGCTGCTCTTGACGGCTATATAAGTTTATTGAGGACTTTCAGAATATCTTAAAGACTTTTAAATCTCTTTGGGAAACTAAACTTTGTGCAAGTCATGGGTCATTGATGAGTAAATCCTAATGTTTCACCCCAGCCCATTCTGCAAGGCAATTTCTTTTCATTTACCACTGATTAATTGAATCTAAAAATGTAATAATTGGCAAGTAGATCTATTAAGTAACGCGTAGCATAACACTTGGAAACTAAGAGCGAATATTTGCCATCCTGTAGCGATAGCTAACCTAGATGTGAAAATCCTGGGATATTTTGGTAGTCATGGGCGTCTGAACTAGTTTAGCTCCGTGGTGACCTCTCAGGAATGTATTTACGAGGATTGTGGGATTGTATTTCACAACGGAGCAGGGATTGGTGAAAAAGTGACAATAAGATGTGCCTTCTAAGGTAATGTGCTACGCGCCGTTATTAGTTTTTTAACCTTTCGATTAATTACACACGCAATGAACGATTTACCAGAATTCCGTTTACGACAGCAATCAACAATATTTATAGCTCATCAAAAACACTATTAGGTTACGCATATTATTATGACACAGTAGCATAATGTAATTTTTAGGGGTCACCAAATGGTGGCAGCATTTTAGTTTGCTAGATCGAGTTGGATGGCTATTGCAGTCACGGTTTTATGGACACCCTAGTATGTTGGTAATTTTCCGAGATAATCTCCAGCTGTAGGTTCTTACAAATTAGAGACACACCCGCCATTTCTTTCAGTAAATTAGAACTTTAGCTCAATGCACAATAACCTGGTTCTAATTGTTTCTCCACTTGTCGACTTTTAATTAAAGACTACAATTTGGAAACACACGTATCCGTAATTGTTTCTGACGTGTCTTCGTTATGGAATCGACACACTTCTCTCATATGGAGGCTATAATTGGAAGTTAAATTGACTGCATAATATGTAAGAGGTTTTTTGTCCATAACCTTTGATTGAGAAGTCTAATCGAAAAAGTATGAATCGTTTTGGATTCTACGCACCAAAATTAATAAGAAAAAGTGTTTTCCGAGAAATTTTGGTGCAGTCGATTTTTGGTAAAAAAGGAAGGTTATACACTGCCTTTTTTTGAGCCCCGAAGAAAAAATTGTCTCAGATCGAGCCGGAAAAAAATTTTCTTATAGAATGTGGCCTGTAGAATCCATAATTTCAAACAGTTCCAAGATTGGGCTACTAGTTCAAAAGTTATAGCCCTTTGAATTTTTTTTCGAAATTGGTTTCTAGTCTATAACTTTTGATTGAGAAGTCTAATCGAAAAAGTACGAATTGTTTTGGATTCTACGCACCAAAATTAATAAGAAAAAGTGTTTTCCCGAGAAATTTTGGTGCAGTCGATTTTTGGGAAAAAGGAAGGTTATACACCGCCTTTTTTTGAGCCCCGAAAAAAAAATTGTCTCAGATCAATCCGGAAAAAAAATTTTCTAATAAAATGTGGCCTGTAGAATCCATAATTTCAAACAGTTCTAAGATATGGCTACTAGTTCAAAAGTTACAGCCCTTTGAATTTTTTTTCGAAATT